TGTGTGTGTGTGTGTGTGTGTGTGTGTGTGTGTGTGTGTATTAGATCGGCCATTGTTTTATGTATTCGCCTATCTAACACACTTACGTGTGGTTGTGGCTTTATCTTGTGATTTGTGACCGTAGTGGTATATCCACATATATATTTATATGTATTTATATTATCTCACAATACTCGCATTACGTGTCATGTTTGTAAAATTCGGACAATTGCCCGCCACTTTGTGCCCTGCCCCTAATAAGGCAACTTTTAGTCGAAATCGTCTGGACGCAAATATTGTTATCATTTATTTGCCGCAATATCAGATATGTGCGTGTATGTGTTTATATATCACACACTGCTGTACACAAGTGTAAGGAAACGATAGATACATCGATGTTGAATTAAGTATGCGTGTAGATACAATATTAGATAGGTTCGATTTGTGTCAGATTGGACTAAACATCTCCACTCACTCTCGCCCAGGTTCTCTTGTAATATGTAAGTTTGTATTTGTTCTCTTGACACCGATGTAGTTATGCCATATTCGAGCAAATGGGCAATAAAGTATCCGACCACATGTGCTCCTAGTATTTTATGACTGCGATATTACTTGCTCATTCACAACAGTCTTCCCCTTCGGTTATACTTACATCTGAGATTTGGAATTTAACTTCATCAAACTCACGGATGCCACATCGTAGAGCGTATGTGTGAATCAGCTAACGGTAGTATGAAATTGTATTGTCGAGCAACTGTATTGGATATTTAGTCCCATTGTTATCCTTTCGGCGGTAATTGTTTGATAAAATAGTGTACCCTGAAGTTATCGGCCTTCCCTTAAATTATTGTGTGAATATGTATGTAATGTATGTTGCGATTTTCTATAACCCCCATTTTTGAAATTTATAGGCATACGGTATCCCAACTCAAAATATATATAGTTCGTCGCAATACACTACACATTGTAGTCTATCAAGCGCGCAAGATACTAGACACTACAAGTTGCAACGTGTGCGCATGTTGCAATTCTATATTTCTACTCATTGTATCCTGCATTGTACAATCAAGTATTTATTATTCGTTGAGTGTCTGCAGCGAACATAGGAACAGGCAAGTGTCGATTATAATTGCATAGAAGTCAAAGATTGTATACGGCGTACATTTCCGTTCTGTCAATGTATGAACGGAGATCAGTTAAAATCGAGGCTGTCTGAGAGAATTGTGACCTTATAGGAAGTTAACCCGTCCGTTATACCTTGCCAAAACATTATAAGCGAATGCTACGAATAAGGTATTGCCTACAAACTTGACCAAAGCACTACATATATCCCAGCAGATATTCGATGCGAAAATAGAAAGCCATTATGCGCATTTTGATGCATGTATTTAGTTCCGGAAGTAATATAGTACAGCAACTAGAAATTACAGTATTTGAGTGTATAAACCAGTGTATATACCAGAGACTGGTCGACACGTCCTTCCCATTCGCACAAAAGTACCACGCAATTGAAAAGTGCTATTCAGACTAATATGTTGTATAGTATGTACACCATAGACTGGTTAATACCCCCTTCACACACAAAGTAAATAATAGCAAAAGTAGAGGGACCTTCCTTTGTAGTGTATTACCATAGACTGGCCGACACACCCGTCTCGCACAATGTGTTAAAGCAAAGAAGGAATTGCTTTCAGAAGTTGTTGCAAACCTTGGCATTTTATATGATTAACTTTCATTGGGGAATACAGCGCAGGTCTTGGGCGTGCTCATCTGCACACTATTAGTGAAGAATATGAGCGAATACCGATCGCCCCCGCCATAGCTTCGCACCCAGTGAATAAACCGTCCATCACACTTCGCGAGCTTGTTATGCGTATCTACCACGAACAGTTCGGTACCTCCTTCACACTTGCCCGCTGTGTTCTCAACACACAATTGCCCTCCATCTGTAAACGAGCCCAGACTGATAGCGAACTGGAAGCTTGTATCTAACACATCCTTATGCGGTGACCCAACAAAGTTTTTCGTTACTGCTATATGCGTAAAGGCATACTCCGGTGCCATCTCATCCATTAACGCTTTGCACGCTTCCCGCACTCGGGGTGTGTACTCGTCCTTGTAGTGCTTGGTCATGTTGATCACCACGTAGTGGTCTGCCTTCACCTTGCGCCTCTCGCGCTTCGGCGGCCAGGCCATGCTATCCAACGAAGTGAGACATCCTTGTAATAAGTGTGCGGGAACACTTTTCCCTTGTACGTGCACCTCAGTGCGCGGATGTTCGGTATAATACTCGGCCAACTGTTCCATAAGCATTCGCGTCGTCGCATACCGCTCTGGAGCACCCAGTCCCAGCACTCGGATACGCTCGATCAACTGCAAATCATCCAGAGGCCTCAACTGCGACAGTAACGGTGGATCGCTGCCCAGTATATCCGTAGTACTGTTCCCACTCCCGCTAACCCCCTTCGCATTAGCATCGGTGCTACCGCTTCTCGTTCCGAACTTATTTTCGTCATCCTGGTCACTAATACTGTCGGTCAGCGCATCTTGTGCGTCTCTGCGGCCCTTTTCGCGGTGTTGCTTCCTCAAATTCTCATGCTGCGCCCTGTCCTGCTCACACTCGCACGTGTTTGGCTCAGTATTTCCCTTCATAAGCCCACATCCAGCCCCATTTCTACAGATGTTTGTCCCATTCCCATTTCCATTTCCACCGGTTTGTAAACTCCGAGAAGTGCCATTTTCTCCTTTCCAATCACCCCACCACCACCTACTCACACCCTCCCACGCACCCCACAGTGACATCTGTGGTAACCCATACCATGTATTCACCTCTGTATTCGTACTCTCTATTTTCTCACCGTCGTCTTTTCTCGTCGGTTCTTTCTTATTTGCTTTGCCTTTGCTTTTCCTATAGACGGCTTTCTTGGCCTTCCCAATAAACCCCTCGCAGATCTCGCGCCCGTCAAAGAACTCAATGGCAGCGTCGCGGTCGGCAGCAGATCGAAAGGCAATGAACACATACCCCATCCAACGCTTCTGGCCGGCATCATTCCTCTATATAATCGGACGATTTGCATGCAGACATTAGTCGAAAGTGAATGGATGGGGGAGTATAAAAGCAGCATCACTTGGAGTACTAAATAGCGAGTATACCCCTGAAACGGGAGGCATGAATGATGGGAGTAAGTGTTATATTCTAGACAGGACTCGTGTTTTATTCGTCACAAGATGTGCAGTGATATACATGGAATATATAGGTGTCATATTCAATTTTCAGAATAATTGAAATCAGGGTGCATATCAAATGGATACGGGAGTATATGATTGTCCATTTATACATTCAACTATGACCCCACAATTCAAAGTAGCGAGTGCTGGTTTGTCAAACAATCAATAGAATTTGCTGCAGGAAACAGTCACGAATAACTTCGAATATCTCAAGCACCTCATGCATACCCCTTCCAACTAACACAAGCCAGACAAGTGAGCACGCACACACATGTAGGCTCGGCCGTTGTATACATACACACTCATGCCTATACCTGTTTATAGCCTCTCTTCTCATAGTACTTTACAATGCCTAAATCAACGCAACTATTTCCCGCCCGCCAAAGTGCGGAGTTCACCTTCTTTACTGAGTTGAGCTCTGCGGGAATACCACCCAGCCAAAGTTCGGTATCTTCCGAGCTGTAAGTTAATGAGAGGTATTTGCATTTTTTGGATTGGCTTTCATTGAAAATCATGAGCGCCCACTGTTCGGTACACACACGCCGACAGGCTCCTCTACACTGTACCGAGATAATGTGAATATATTACGGCCAGAGTCCTAAACAAGCGACAACAAGTCAGGACGGGTGCCATACAAAGCTAGAGTTCACAAGTTTAGACGCTCACATTCCCACCCACGTATTAAACATGCACGGTCATTTGACAATCGAAATACATCGAATATGTTACAAATGTAATACAAACTAGATAATATAAAATGTCGAATATACACGCACAACGGATGTAAGTCAATTCCACTGCGTACGAACGAGCCACTATTACATAGGCACCTGTTCGGAATAATACCAAAACTTTCTGCGTGTTGCAGTGGACTCTATAACTTTGCTTTGCCGCACAACCAGATCCCATACAAAATATTTCCAGTCGCATAGAAACATGAATACATCCCTATGCATTTATACATAACTATGTGTTACACATCGCAAACATGACCAGAACACGGATCGTTGGACCACCTTCACAGGACACGACCAACAGCATTGTGGAATTTAGCTTCATATGGCTACTCGGACTCAAAAAGATAATATCACATATACCCCTGTCAAGTACAGACCAACATTCTATGACTGCCCACGCCCTTAAAATGGGCGATGTGTACCTCTACTCCTATAAAACACGATATATAA